AAAAAAAAACGTATATTAAGCTACAACATCTAATCGGACTAAAACTAACCACAAGGACGTGAATGCCTGCAAACACGGACATAAACTAAGATAAAAAATAAAAAAAAGATAGAAACAGGATTAAACCCATTAGCTCCGTGATCTCCCAAACGCATTATGAAACACGTAACAACACTCAAAAATCTGTAATCGCGTGACGTATAAATTTAGATAAAAGTGAAGGATATATAAAAACCTAAAAGGAAAATATCTTATTTTTCATAAACTTTAAAAATTCTTAATCTTAGAAAAAGTGGGTAAGAAGACGCGCAGTCTACAAGGATCAAATGAGGGATAGAGAGAAATGGAGATAATTAGCGTTGAATTAAACAAATTTAGATTAATTACATATACACAAATATAGAGAGATAGATGAATAATAATAATAATGATAATGATAATAAAATATAACAAAAAAGAAAGAAATACTTTTAAATATATCAAAATATAAGATATGAAAAAAATATATAATAAAAGAGAAAGAAATACATATACACTGCAATTTCTTTAATTTGTCAAAAAGAAAAAGCAGAATAAAGTACAAGAATAGATACAATGGAAAGGTAAATAAGGGAAAATCAAAAAGAGGGAAGAATAGAGACCGAGAATAAATAAGGAAAACTAAAAAAAGAAAAAAGAAAAAATTGGACAGTGGAATATTCGAGAAATGAACTAAAAAAGATATAAGAAATAGGAAAACGAAGAAAAAAAAGGATAAAATTAACATAAAAATGAATGACAAGCGAGTAACGAAAAAGAAATGAATGAAGATGAATTGAAAAGAAATAAGAGGAAAATAAAAGTGAAATAAAACATTAAAGATGAAATTCATGGGAAATGATAGAAAAAAAAATTAATGAACTGAACAAATCAGACAACTTGAAGATGAAGTAAAAAAAAGACATGAACGTAGGAATGGAAAGGAAGAGACGAATAAAAGCAAAATAAAAATGAACGAGAAAATGTGAGATATAAATTGAAATACATATACAAGTGAAGCCAACTGGGAAAGGAGTGAATAAACTGAAGGAAATAAATAACATAAAGATGTCAAAATAGACAAGGAGGAAGACCAGAAAGTGAAAGATTTTTTTGAATAAAGTCTAAAGAAAAATATCTAAAGGTTATCTTTGCTTTAAAAAATATGGAAAAAAATACGATTCTGTACCTTAGAAACTGCAGATAATCTCCCTTCTCTATATTTATGTATTTCTTCATATTACCTCTTCCTCCTCCGTCTCTTCCTTCTTTACCTTTACCTTTAGTTCTTTTTCTTTTTTCTTTCCCTTTTTCATTCACTATTTATACCCCGTCTTTCTCTTAATTGTCTCCATATCTCTTATTCTGCGGTCTCTCAGTCCTCTCTCTTCTATTCACTCTCTCTCTCTCTCTTCTCATCTCTCTCTCTCCCTTTCTCTCTCTCTCTCTCTCTCTCACTCTCTTATTCGCTCTCTCCTTCTTTTCTTTCTTTCTCCCTTTTCTCTCCTTCTCTCCTTTTCTCTCTTTCTCCCTTTCTCTCCTCTCTCTCTCCTCTTTTCTCTCTCTTCCAATTCCATCTCGCTCCCTCACTCCTCTCTCCAGTAACAACAAAAAGTGTAAGTCAAAATAAACCCGATAATAAAATTTCATTACCCATTACCTACATCAACGTAATTATGACTCTTGAGCACATTACAAAAATCCACTTTCCCTGAAATATCTTTTTTTACAGTTCCCTTACATCGTTCCACAGAGTCTGTCTCTACCAAAGCTGTCAGTATCATAAAAATCAAATTATCCGAAAGAAATAAGAAAGAAAGTATACGGGAATGTATAGCCTTTGGTGAATTTTTTTTTTCTTTCTTTCTTTCTTTCTTTTCTCTTCTTTTTTGAAGTAGAATACCAGGAGAGAGAAGGGATGATATTGAACATCCACTCGGAATAACTTTCATATTCTGTAGAGGACCATTGAAGTTGTCAAAGTAATATAACTTTACGGTAGCGCATTTTCTACCAGATTCTATCGCCGTGGGACTGTGAATCTAGCCAGGGAATGTAGTAAAAAAAAAATGATTCGTGAGCGCCAGTATTCTGTCATACAGCTATTATACTCATACAGTCTAAGTGCAAATCGTTCTTATATTTCGTATATTTAGTGGTATTAAGAATATTTGACATTTTACGTAAATTAAAAAAAGAAAAATCTAAGCATGGTACACGATGTAATGAAAAATTTATATATCTATATATGTTAGCGCAACGAAGCACCTTTTCTATTTTCGTTTAAAACTTTGATTCCTCTACCTTATTATTCCATGGTTTTCGGTTCTCAAAATTATATTTGCTTATAGATAAAGGATAAGAGAGAAAAAAAGGGATTATTGTTCCTTCACATACACCTCCTTTCCAATCCTTGAGGCTAACTAATTCACTATTCTGTTTAATATTTAATTTCAAGTTATCTGAGAAACGAGTCTGTCGC